TTATTGCTGTTCAAATGTTATCACTTTTGCAAAATGTGTGCTTAAAATATTTTTGTTTTCACTATAGTTTTTTTAAAAAAAATCCTATTGGAAGTTCACTGACGTTTTTCTACACCTTCTTTTTTAGCAAACTTCAGCAGCCATCTAAGTCATCATGGACTTTCAATGAGATGTTTGTTGCTTCTGCAACTCCACACAGCCCCAACCACAGTGTAGACTGGACATTTAGCCAGGTACCATGGAATGCCATGATCCTGGGATGGATGGATGGATGGATGGATGGATGGATGAATGGATGCATAGATAGATATTAGAATAATAGAAATATCCCATATTCCTTTTTTGTGTATAGGGATCACCATTCAGCCATCCTTGAGGGGTTCATCCTGTGAAATTGATAAATGTAGCTGCTAATCAAGGGCTCACCACTCTAAGAAAGATTTAAAAATTCTGGTGGCAGCGTGTCTCTATGCTGTAGGTAATCATCAGTATAGAAGAATGTATTTAAATTTATTTACCGCCCAACTCCAGTTGACTCTTTAAAATATTTTTAATGCCATTTTCATATGAATAGTGCATTTAATTTAAATGTGAATCCAATAAAATAATGATTTACCTTTTGCTTTAGCCCCATTCGTTGCTTTTCGGGATGTAGCCTGAGCTACAGATGAACCTCTGAGAGGCATGCGTATTGTTGTACGTCACCCAGAGTCACTTTATGTGAGATGGGCGGCTATATAAATACGATAAATAAATATAAAATTGATGGAAAAACATGTTTTTCTACTTCTGCTTCTTTGTGATTTGTTAAACAATAGCAGTTTACATACAGTGCTCCATATATTAATCAGAAAGTAATAGATTTGGGTCTCCCCACGCCTAGTTCAGCACCTCCACCACTATACTACACTGGCTCTCATTCATGTGTGTACGTATGTATGTGTATACTCACACACATATGTCTCTCTCTCTCTGTATACACACACACACACACACACACACACACATCTTTTATAGAGGCTGTACATGATTCTGGAATATAATCAAATATAAGAACAGCTTGCCAAAACCAAAATAGGAAAAACAAAAGACCTCAGATAAAGTGCAAGTGAAATATTGAGGGTTTACATTTGTTTTAACCTCTGCCTGGCACTAAATCATAACAGTACCTTTGGGTGCCCAATGCTGCCCCCCCAAAAGAGCAAACATTTAATTGCCATCTGTTACATTTGATACACAAAACACCCACTGAGGAACTGGGCCGAACTGAATGCATTGTATTCTTACACAATTTTGACTGTATGCTTGTCACTCTTAGGTAAAATTGTAGACTCTAAATAGTGATATGGTCTTTCTGGATAATTTTGAATCGGAAACCTTTCAAGGAAGTGTTCCAGAAGATATCCCTTTGTAAATGAACATGTTTCTAGTTAGCATATTCATCTTGTTATCCATAAGTCTACATTATTTGATGTGGGGGGGAAAATGAAATCTAGCCTGTTTTATAAAGTTTGAACAGTAAATTTAGATCATTTTTTAAAAATCTTTGGTGTTCAGAGAAATTTTATTTTATTGGAATGTTAGAAACAATGTTGAATAGGTAATAAAACAATAAGTATTATACTATTTTGAAACAGCCAAATTTACCTGAAGTGAAAAATTTTGATCCTGGAACAGTATCTAGAAAATGTCCACATCTATGGCCATAAATGTAATCATTTATATATTTATTTTAATGTATGTTTACAGCATCAGTTATACGATGTTTGAGGTATCTACAGTTTTTAGTTTCAGTTGGAAACTGTACAGTATGTTTATGAAGATTCTCAGTCATCCAAGTGGAATTGTCAGGAGGTTGAGTCATGGCAACTGGACTTCTTTTCTTTTTGGTTTTCTAACCAAAAG